AGTTCAGCTCGAACTTTATGTACCGCCTTATGAGCGTATCCTTTGCCGCAACTCTTACGATTCATCACAACCTCCTTTCCTCTCCTGCTTACACTGATCTTGGTTCTTCCTCTCGTCTCCCACTCTTGCAGTAACCAGTCCACTGCCTCCAGGATTGCGTTGTGCGGCAATGATGTGAACATCTCCTTGATGTCGTAGCTCCGAAGCCACGTCATAGTGCCCTCTTTCCTGCCGTTGAACTTCTTCTCTGTCCTCGCGAGTCTGTCTTTCAGATGCGTTGTCACTCCCATATTGAAATGGGTTGCGTTCGGGAGTCTGGCCAGTAACACATTAAGCACTCTGGCCACTCTCCTACTGCCCGTCTTGGTTGGTTCTCTGTTTGCTGGCGCTATGGGCCGCCATTTCTCCAGATCCTTGTGCTTGGGCATGACGTATGCGCAGCCTATCTTCCCTTCGTGGTTCCATGCTACAATCTTCTCCAGTCCCTCCCGTTTGTAACTCCTCGCTTCCGCCATGATCTCTTCCTCCTTCCTGTTGTCCTGGTCGTAGGCACCATTGAAGATGAACATCTTCCTTAGTGCATGCTGGTATGAAAACGGGCATAATAGAACCATGTCTCCTGCATTCCTGTCCACCGGAGCGATTACTAGGTGCTGGTACCTCCTGATTTCCGTGACCTCTTCTTCTGTAACGGCAGCGCTCCATTGTCCTTGCCTCGAATAGCAGTTCCCGACCTGTATGTCCAGTTCCCTGACCTCCGTGTGGTTTCCCAATGAAGTTTTAAGCGCCGTGAAAATCGTGCCCTTCAGCTCGCTTTCCCTGGTTCCTCGAGTAGGTCTTGCGACGTTCTTCCCGTTGCAGATCAGCTCGTTAATCCCTGGTACTTGCGCTATCCTAGTGACCACGTGCCCTTCTCTTCGTTGCAAATTGTCCGCTGCGCACGTACATGCTCCCTCCTCCACACTTTTCGCCGCGGCCATGTGGTTGCACAGTATACTTGCGACCGTTCTATTCTTGCTCCATACTACTCTCGAGTGCCTTACCAACGACCCTTTCACAGCAGGATGCACCCTTGCCTCCCCGATCCACTTCTGAAGTTCGACCCTGACCTCCCTTTTCCTTATCTCGTTATCGTACCTTACTGATACCGTTGTTTTATGCCTGATATTCACTCCCTCCTTCTTGCTTACTACCCTACCAATCGCTTCCTTGATTACCTTTCTCTTCCCTTTTTCCGCGAAAGCGCCTGCACTTGTGTACAATTGCATCAGTTTCCCCGTTCCCAACTTCCATAACTCTTTCCGTTTGTAAAAAAACACTGCCGAGGTCCGAAGTATTGAGCAAATCGCTTTCCCAACCGTGATGGGGAGGAGCGTGTGTGAGTACCTCTGTTGCTACCCAGAATGACAGGAGCCAGAACCAGAAGGTTTTGTATTGTTATTATTTATTATAAAAAAAAAAAAAAAAAAAAGCAAATCGGCTAATTAATAGAGTCCTTCATTCACCAGTGCAGCAATCGATTTGGCCGCCCATCGATGTAAACCGGTTTTATTCACTTGTCAAATTCGATTCACTCCTCATGCCTCGATCTTATATTCGCTGCTTCTAAAAATTGATTGGATCTTTTTGATGATTTGATCTTTGTTTCTTAATATGATTTTTTTTTCTTAATTTGAGCTCTTTTATTAATTTGATCTTTTATTCTTTTGATCGAACAGTTTTATTTATTGGGTTTTTTTTTTTGTTTTGTTACTGGACTCTGACCAATTTGATTGATTTCTTAATTCGGTGGATCGGATCGACCATAGGCAACAGCGCAACTCATGCATGCACCGACTCACTGGTCCAGTCCCGCTATACATTCGACTGGTTGATAATTTGGTGCCATCACTTTATTTTTATTTTTATTTTTTCCTACTTAATCCAACACGTGGCTAAGACTCTCTGGAGACTCCAGTTTCGGAAGCTCACTCTTCAATCCCCTCCCGAAAAGGAAAATTCTCCCTCCACGAAGCCCATGCCGATAAATTCTTTCTCATCCCCCTTTCTCGTCTTTGCTCCAAACACCTCTCTCTCTCTCTCTCTCTCTCTCTCTCTCTCTCTCTCTCTCTCTCTCTCTCTCTCTCTCTCTCTCTCTCTCTNCTCTCTCTCTCTCTCTCTCTCTCTCTCTCTCTCTCTCTCTCTCTCTCGCTCGCTCGCTCGCTCGCTCTCTTTGTGCCTTCCCATCTGCAGCTTTGAGCAAGAGACGTCTGTTTCTACCTTTCTATACGAATCAATGTCCACATTCATCCACCGGCCCATCCTTCCATTTACGTCCCCGTTCATTCTGTATTCACACAGGAAGACAAAGGGGAACAGATGAAATAAAAGAAAAAAGAGACTTCACCAGACTGTCTTATTCCCCCTACCTCTATTTCCCCTACCTCTGTTTGTATATCCTCACAAACGTAACCGTACTCCGGTTAAAAGGAAGCAGAGAGAGGACTGGGTGGGTGGGCCGTCGTCGATCTGTCAACCTCTCGACAGTTTCATTCTCCCTACTACTGGTATGTTGTCCCTACCTCTGTTTGTGTATCCTCACAAATGTGACCGTACTTAGGAAGTACGGAAGCAAAAAAAGAGAGGATTGGGTGGATGGGCCGGCCAAAAACATCACTACGAATGCGGATGGGTTGTCCAAGCACTCACTTCGGACGCGTTCTCGCATTCTCGCGGGGCAAAAAAGAAGGCGTTCTCGCGTTCTCGCGGGGCAAAAAGAAGGGGTATGATCCCAGGAAGAGCTGTCGTCTACAGGCTCGGGTATGAACGCTACCCACTGAACGTCTACAGAATGTGGATGATGGTTCAACAGGTTGACAGATCGAACTCCGGCCGGGACGCATTGGGTGCAAGAAGATACATGTCGACCGTGTTGCTGTGTCGTAGAGCGCAGGCCCATTGTCATATACTGGCGACATACAGCAAATACTATACTATGGCTTTCTTCACGGGATCTGGCCGTATTTGCCGTCACATACAGACAAAAAAGTCACAAGTGTCAGTAACCCCTAAGCCCGTCGGTTTCAACGGATTGCTGAAGTCATGTCTGCTGTCTGCTTCTTTGTCCGTATGTTGGCTGTACACAGAATCTGGTCAGATGTTGCTACCGTACGCCAACTAAAAGGCGGCTAAGCTCGTACTCACAGGAGGACTTTCTTCGCTGAATCTGGTCTGAAATCAGGTCTGATACGCTCAAAAATGCTCAAGTGTGAGGATCCCCTTCGTCCCGACCGTTCCGCTGGATTGTCACCACCACCTCATCTGCATCTCTACGCGTTGTCATTATCACTTCAAGACTTTCTTTTTTTTCCCAGTGGAGTTCGAACTCAGGTCCGTATTTCAACAGTTCAGCGGAAGAGGGGGCCGGGGGGGGGAAGGGGGAAGGGGCGAGGAGGGGGCGGGGAAGGGGGCGAGAAGGGGTCTGAAATCAGGTCCGATACGCTCAAATAAGTGTGAGGATCCCCTTCGTACCAACTGAGCTAGGCCAGGTGGGGAAGGGGGCGGGGRGGGGGSGGGGAAGGGGACGAGGAGGGGGCGGGGAAGTGGGCGAGAAGGGGTCTGAAATCAGGTCCGATACGCTCAAATATGCTCAAGTGTGAGGATCCCCTTCGTACCAACTGAGCTAGGCCAGGTGGTTTCGTTCTTTTTTTCTCACATGAAGGCAAAATTAGGTTAGACGATGAAACACCAAACTCTTTCCAACTCCCATAACTCGTTACAGACTCGTCAGCTCCCCCTATAAACGCAGGCTCTACATACATGTGAGAGGACAGAAAGGGGAAAGAGATCGCGGAAGGGGGCGGGGAATGGGGCAGGAAAGGGGGAGAGGAGGGGGCGCACAGTTCAGACGAATAAGTAGATATCTATATTGGTAAAGAGAAAGGCAAAGAAATACAAATTCATGATACTCCAGTTTCACTTACTCGTATTCTCCGACTTCACTCACCGAATCCAAAGATGGACCCCATCACCGTCCCACTAACTGCAGCTTGGAGACTGCCGATCAAACAGATCTGGTTCTCTGTAAGGCTCATTGCGGCAGTGGAGGCAGTCCGCGGAGAGGCAGAGGGGGAGAGGGGGGCGGAATGACTCGCACTCGCATCATCCGCGCTTCCGCCACTTGGCGACACACTCGTCAACTCACTCCCCCTTCCCCCAGCTGGCCCAGAGGACGAGTTCCCCGGAGACAGAGGAACAGAAGCCGGACCATTTCCACCATTGCCAGCCGCCATAGCTGTCCAAGCTGTCTTGAGGAAGGCGAGGGGATCCTAGAGACCTACTCCTCGTCGATCTTATCTTGGCAAAGCTAGCCGATGACTCCCTCACCACCTCTCCCCCCCTTTATATATCTCTCGGCAAAACGCGGCGATCGCTCACCACCTCCTCGCTCTCCTTCCCCCCGCCGTCGTTTTCGGAAAACAAATTGGTCGACTCGTTCCCCGCCAAAATCAGGCGACAAGAAAAGCCGCCGGCGTCAATCGCTCAATCGCTCAGCACCTCCTCCCTCTACTTCCCGCCGTCGCCCTCGCTCTACTTTTCCCGCCGTCCGTTTCGGAAAACAATTCGATCGAACTGTTCCCCGCCAAAACACGTCGGCAAGCAGAACAGTCGCGTCGACCAGGACATCAACATTAGTTTCCCGCCACAACAACGCGAGATCCGCAAAAAATCCGGCTTGCCGCGAAATGTGAATGCAAGAGACAAGCCGAAGCCCAAGCCGCGCGGGAGGAGAGCGCGACCACGTTCTTCAAGGACGCCAAGGACGCCAAGGACGCCTTCTTCCTTCCGGCGCGCTTCTTCTTGCCCGCCACCAACACGTGTCACCCTCTCCCACGAACATCGCCCTGGGCCCTCTCCTCGTGGCGCTGAGCTGGAGGCCGCTACGGGGCGGCAATAGTATCATCACGTATTTTCCAAAAGGGATTTTGGTGAAGGAATTTTCCGGGGGCGGAAGGAATTTGCCGAAGTTCCCGCCCAAGTAGCCGGCTACCTCCCCTCAATATAGCGCACTGCCATTGTAGCCGTATTTGGGTCAATATGAAGTCCAGGTGCGGCGGAAATTACCGTATGTTCTGTGCGGTTTGGGGAAAACGGTAGCTCCCGCCAAAGCAGCTGCCTACCTACCTCCCGCCCAATCAATGGGCTACCCTACCTGTCCGCACCTGCGCTATGTGTGTGCTAAGCTGCCCAGAGAACAGACCATGTAATTTACGACCAGGTTCATGCTCTCAAAGCACAACAGACCGTCAGCGGCTCGAGTGTGGGGCCGGCCGTGGCCCTGGCCACCAATAAGCTTGTACCCTTGGTTCGGACGGCCCTGCCTCCCACGAACGTAGCCATGCCATTTCTGTGGTTTCGTGGTGCTTCTTCTAGTCAGGAGGGGTCACTGGGCAGAGAACTGCAGGGGGTACCTGTTCATCAGATCATCATACTTCACAAGGGGATATATGAACTCAGATTGGGGAGCAAAATAAAACAGATTGGGTTCACAATTTATAAGCATGTCATGTCATAAGTAGTTGCTGATAACAGTTTGAGATCTTCCTTAAAAGTGGGAATCTGGGGCCATCCACCAATGCACTTCCTGACTATCCCAACTTCCCCACCTTCATTTACCAAATTCCATTGTTATGATTTGTGTACAGGAGATGGTGGTTGGAAAGACTTTTTCATCGTAGTATGGAAGCAGTTCAGCATCAACCAAGAAGTCAAGTAGAGGGAAAGTATGATCAAGGCTTGAAGGATTCCGTAGAATTGATTGCTGAGTACGGTCTTTCCAAGAACGGCGAACGAGAAAGAGGACGGATGCTGCGTTCCTTGAATGAATGGCTTCTTCGCAACGACATAGGTCGTAGTATTGAGGATTGCAATGATTTAGATGTATTAGCTTTCTTCCAAGGACAGTGGTTGGCTGAGCTGAGTACCCGTTGCCGTACTTTTGATAAATTTGGTCAACCCTTTTCTGCTTGTAGTACAGTTGAGTCTGGTTTCAGTTGCCTTAGCCGTTGCTTCTAGATTCTAGGTCGAGAGGGAAAAGAAAACCCTTGCAATAGCTCAAAGGTGAAGGACTACCGGCGTGCTTACAAGAATTATGCTTTGAGAAATGGCGTGATAGAGTTTCAGGCTCCACCTATGACAGAAGAAAGCAAAGATGTTTCTGATTTACCGAGGGTTGAGGGAGAGGATGAAGACACAAAGCGGATGCTGCTATACAGAGACATTGCGTGATCTGTGTATTATGAGTTATCTCTGGGAGAGCTGGCAGAGGGGAGGTGAGGGATTGCGGCTTCGCGGAGGTGAGGTTGATGAGGTAAGGTTGGTTCAACCAGCTTATACAAAGACTCTCCGAAAAGGGCGGCAGGGGGTGATTACGCTCCGAGAGCGCACTGGAGAAGGTACTTCTTTTTTGGAACTTATGGAGAAGTTGCGCATTGCTTATAGTAATCTTGTCCCTCCAATCGATCTTCGCGATGGTGGGGCCCTCTTCCGTAGTACAAAGACGAAGGAGATGCTGAGCTTAAGTGGTTTCAACCGTCGGTTAAAGAGTTGCCTTCAGAAATTGCAGATATATGAAGGAGAAAGCAGTCATAGTTTCAGGGGCGGGCGGGGTGCGAGAAGGAATTAAGAAGGGGTGGAGTTTAGAGAAAATGCTAGGTCAGGGCACTTGGAAGACTTTCTCGTCCTTCATGCGATATGGTTATGGTTGTCATTGAAGATTCGCCTGGATATTATGCTTGCTACTAGGCCTGCTTCGCCTGGGTTCACCGATTCTTCTGGGACTCTGCTTGATGCTACACAGATTGAGAAGTGCTTGGTCAAGAAGATTTGCTTGCTGGGTCTTAACCTCTTCAGGGCTGAAAACCAATTGGCTTTCTTAGAGACAGGGGTTATGAGTAGGTACTCTCCCCCGAACTCTTTGATCTTGGCTAAGGCTTGCTGGATTAGACAAGTAGGTGGAAAAACCCATTTGAAGGGTAGTGCAGGCAGCTTAGACCAATCCAAGGATAAGGAGTTGACCGCAAAGCAATTAGGCAAGAAAAATTGTGCTACGAATTGGTCGCATACATGCATTCCTTCTTATGCGAAGGGATCGATTGTGGGTATCCCAAAGATTTTGAATAACTCATGCTCTTGCTTTTCAGACAGTCCCCAGTCAGAGAAATCAACTTCTTTCGAGAGCAAGTCTGCTTCGGTATTGAATTCTCTAGGCATCCAGGTTGGTTTTAGCCGGCAATCCATTGTTAGAAGGATTTCCACAACTATCTTCAGTAATTGGTTAAAAACCATATCCGTGGATCTCAGCTTTGTGAGTAGGTAGAAAATTGTTTGGTTGTCTCCCACACACTCTACTGCAGTTGACCTTAGCTCTTGAGGAGCGTTCTTCCTCAAAATTATCAGTGACTCAGTGACTGCATACAGTTCTCTGTGAGTACTTGATTTTTGCAGAAATTCTGTTAGAAGAGCGAAGCAGGCCCTTAGCTGCTCACCAGTGCTCAAGGTCAAGATTGCTTCCATCCCAATTGTTGAAACATCAGTTCGGATGCTTGCTGATGGAAGTCGCACCCTCCAGTTTCTTCCTGGAAGGGAAGGGAGGTGCTCGATCCACCATTCGAGATCTGATTTGAATTCGATGGTCAAGTTGATCTTTTTTTCCCAATAACAATTAGTAAGGGCATCGTGCAGATTTGAGCAATACAAAGATGCCGGCAGGAAAGCCCTGCAAGTGATACTAGCTTTCCTGCTAAAGAAGTTATCCTCCTAGTGGTTAGTTCTGATTTAGAGCTGCAAAGTTTCAGTACGTGGCCTAGCCTTTCCACCTTGTCCTCTAACACCTTGACTCGCTTCTCGTGAGAGTCGATAATGAAATCGAGAAACCTATTGGACAGAGCTGGAAAGACTTGGCATTTACTGAGACTTAAAAGAAACCCAATTTGTGAAAAACTAGAGTGATGAGATAAGAGTTTCACAAGCATTTTACAAAGTTGTTTTCGGTCACAAGGCTATCATCGATATAAGAGAAAATCATAATTCCCTGTGTTCTGAATTCTCCCATGACTTATTGCATGACTCTTGTGAAGATCCAGCATACAGAAGAAATCCCAAAACACAGAGTATTAAACCGGTAGGTTCTGCCCCCCCATTTAAAAGCTAAGAAAGGTTTTGCAGACTCGTGCACAGGGACATGATAGTAATCATTCTTGATGTCAAAGGTAACCACAAAATCTTTCAACGGTCCCCCATCCATGACTGCAACCATATCGTTGATTGACTCATAGTGAAAGCAATGAAACTTGATAAATAGGTTGACATATCTGAATCAATAATGAAACGCATTTTACTCGAGCTCTCAACCACAAATACAGGATTACAAACAGTTGGTGAATCTGTTTATGAAATAACTCCTTGCCTCAACAAAAGTTCGACACTAGTGGTCACAAAATCTGCGTACTGGGTTGACAAATGATAATTAGGGATGTGCATCGGTGCTGGTTCAGTTCCCTTTAAGACTCACTTGAACTGGGTTGTCTTAAGTATCGGTTTGACAATCCTGCAGACTTCCTACACCTTTGATTTTTCCTGATGACTTGTGCCTTTGAAATTCAACTTGACTCCTTCCTCTAACTAGGTAAGGACACTTCCTGAATACTTTCCTTTAGATGACTTGAGTAAACTCCTTCAGGGTTCGATGTGAGCAGAGGTAGATGCTGCACTAAAAGATTCTGGATCTCTGAGTCATGACGTTCTATTACTTAGCAGGCATAAGAGATCTGTGCCGCTGAAGGTTGAGTGTTAAGGGCTTTGACTGTCTGGGAGATCGTGATCTCCTGCTCCATTCCTTGTTGCCGCCAGATGAAGAATCTGCTTATTGAAGTTATGGTTGTAGCTCCTCAAGGGGCTGCGGTTCCTTGAGTGTCTAGCTGAATCAGAGTTGTTGTACCTGCACAGAAGATTTAAAGACGTACTTGAAAGTCACTTGCTCTGATCAGTCATTACTTTCTGAGGACCACCGCGAATGAGGAGTAGACACTTCAGTGAAGGTCCCCAAAGATCCTGATTTTAATGGGATGGTAAGATCATCCTCACTGATAGTAGGTCAATTGATTGAGGTTGCTGCCCGAGTTATTCGGGTGAAATACCAGATTGTTCTTCGATTCCATTTGTCGGGGTTTTCTTTTTTTCTCCTTCTCGCTGGGTTTTTTTTTTTTTTTTTTTTTTTTTTTTTTTTTTTTTTTTTAATAGGTCAGCGTACACCACTGCCACTTACCCTCTGATTGTTGCTCTGTTCTCTTGGTCATCCCACTCTTTGTTGATTTTCTTCATCGCCAGCACGAATATTTTCAACTCCATAGCCTTTAGTGAGTTTTTCACTATTTCTGAACATTCGTCGTCGCATAAGTCCTCTGCGAGATTTGTCACTGCGTTTCTGAAAGCACTTGCTGCTGGCATGCCTCTCTCGTAGTGCTTATAGTTGAGCTGTATCTGCTTAACCCTTATAAGGACAACTATGTGCCTTCTCCATGGTGGCTGGTCGAAAATGAACTTCAGAGCATCTACTTCATCCTTAGCCCCTTCTGGTTTTCGATAGAGCGATTCCTTTACTCTGGTGAAAACATCCCTCACTGTGGTTTCGTCTGCGTTGAGCATCTCTATTCTGAGCTCGAGCATTTCCATCTCCTCT